GTCTTAAAGGGACCTCAACGACACAGTCCACAGGCTAGGCGTCCTACAGGTAGTGTAGCCTTTAAATTGAGGCACAGAACAAGCAAGGCAGCCGCACACTGGTCTGATGATCACAGAGCGAGAGATAAGAAAGGCAAGGCTCACCAAGCCATTTATCTCTCTGCCCTTCATTTAATCCCACTTTTGTTTATCAGCCAGGCTGGCACAATAAACTCAGTTATCTTTACTGAAACATATATAAATGACCAACACTGAATAAATATATGTTAAAGATACACACAACTAAGGCATATTTTTAACAACGCTGACTAGGCAACTGAGTTGAAAATTTAGAAAAGGGGAGTCAGAAAAGGTTGCATGTCAGTCCAATAAGGAACACATAACCTTACTACCACAACTTACCACAACAGATCTTGGCATCACTGGTTTAAACACCGAACAGAATTCCAGTAATCTCTTCTCATAGTACTTGCAGAGTGTCATTTCTTCATGGGGCTCAAGAAAGACTGGATCATTTGGAAGAAGCTTCGGATTTAAAATTATAATACAAATTCAGTAAATTAGTTGAAATTTTCTTTCTATTCAGATTAAATTTTGGTTATGTGTCTGACCAAAGGAAAAGTCTACTGAGCCTCGTTTTTTCATTGCTAACTATGACATAGGTGCCCTACAAGAGCAGTGGTTAACCACCTGGTTCCTAACCCAAAGGTCTGCAGTTCACACCAACAGCTTCATGGGAGAAAGGTGTAGCAGCTGCTCACATACAGAGCACATTGCTGGAAACCCTATGGGGATTTCCACTATGTCCTATATGGTTGTTAAGTTGTCTATTAATTCAATGGCCATGGAATTTTAATGGTTATACACAATAGCTTGAGAAACATATTAAACTGAAATGATATCATATTACAGTTCCTCAGCATGTCAACTGGCTAATACATCGTGTATAAAGGTATGAGCAGTCACATGCTCAAAGGTCTGATGTTGCAATTTATTAAATTGATGATATACGGTCAAAACCCAGCAAATGTCTCAAAGGTAATCCTGAGCCCTACAACATTATCTCTTCCATATTCACCTTTGTCAACCTTTTACAGAACAGTTGTATGAACTGTTCAATACTCTTTTATAGGATCACTATGAGTGTACATTAACTCAACGGCAAGGAGGTTATACATATGTAATATACATATATGTATTTCCTACACACGTACAGATATACAGAAAATACATATACACACATATATAAGTAGGCTTCAAAAAGTTTGTGGAAAAATAGAATTAAAACATAATGAAAATTTCCCACAACTTTTTGAAACTCCCTTATACAATATATGAACAAAAAGGTGAATGACACAGTAAGCATCACAGGATAATGGAAGAAATACACAACCATTGCACCCAAACTAAGTGGTCAATATTCAACCATTTCAGTTAACACACATGATCAAGAACTAGTGGTTTTGATGGAAGGGTGCTGAACTGCACTAAAGGTATGAAAAAAAGCAAAGTTGTACACACTAAAGGTATGTACAACAAACGGATGGAGCGTCAGAGGAGCTTACTCATCTATGCCAAGAAAAGTGTGGAAGTCATCCCAATGAAAGTTAGGTGACCCAACAGAATGCAAAACTTATTAGGAACTATCAGTAATATCGCACACAACTAAACTCTTCCTTAAGGTAATTTAAAAAATGATTGCAGCAGTACCTTAACAGAAAACTGCTAGAAATTCAAATTTAAGAGAAGGATGTGGAACATTAATGCGGATATCAGCTGAATCTTGGATGAAAATAGAGAATACCAGAAAGATGTTTGTGCTTTATTGACTTTGCAAAGGTATTCGACTCTGTGGATCTTAACAAATACGGATAGCACTGCAAATAATGAGAACTCCAGAACACACACGGTGCTCAAGTGAAAGTTATAGAGCAAGAGGCAGTTGTTGAAAGAAAACACGAGTATACAGCCTGGTTTAAAGTCAGCAAAGGTGTGTGTTCAGCTAGTATTCATTCATATTATTCATTGAATCTTAGCAAATTGAAGCTTAGCAAATAATCTGATAAACTACTATATGAAGTGGAAGACTTATTAATAATCTACAATATGCAGATGGAACAATTTTGCATGGGGAAAGACTCAAAGCACTTACTGATAAATATCAAAGATTATAGATAACACCTCAATATAAAGAAAGCAAAAGTCCTCACAAAAGGAATAATTAGTAAGAGCATGATAATTGGAGAAAAAAATTGAAGTTGTGCAGGAACTGATTTTGCTTGGATCCAATCAACGCCCATGGAAACTGCAGCCAAAAAAAGAAAGACTATTACATTACACATATCTGCTGCAAAAGATTGCTTTGAAGACTAAGACGTACACGAGCTAAGCCATTGTATTTTCAATCACCTACTTACTACACAGGCAAAAACTGGACGATGAATATGGAACACTGAACAACTGATACCTCTAAGTGATGGTTTTGGCGAAGCATGTTACATTTGCCATGGGCTCCCAGAAGGATGCACAAATATCTTGGACGAAGTAAAGCCACAATGATCTGTAGAAGTGGGGATGGTGAGATTTAGAAATAAGGACGGTGGGTATCATCCGAAGAGACCAGTCAGTCCTTGGCGAGGGGTATTGTTTGGTAAAGTTGAGGGTTAATGAAAAAGAAGAAAACCCTCGACGTGATGGACTGACACAGAAGGTTCAGCACTGAGCTTAAACACAACAAAGGCTGTGAGGGCCGTAAGTACACACGACTGGGCAGTCGTCCGTTTTGTTACACACGAGGTTGCTGGAAATTGAAGGTGACTGGCCAGCACGCTCGCTCTCTGTGATGAAGCCCTTGTGGTGTAGTGATTAAGCGTTGAGCTGCGATCCGCAGGGACAGCACTTCATAAAACCACCAGCAGCTCCGTGTGAGAAAGACTGGGCTTTCTACTCGCCTATGAAAGTGTCCGAAATCTATAGGGGGGTCGCCATGGGTCAGCATTGACTCGATGACAGTGAGTTTTAGTCAGTTACATATATGTTTACATTTACATATATAATGTTTTAAAGTAAACACACACACAATTAGTACAGCACAAAAATCAGTTAAGGGAAAGAGTTGCAAATGAAAGGTTAAAAATATAGTAGCTACTAAATAGGCCTGAGGCATCAAGCCATTGCTGGAAGTCTGTACTAGAAAGAGTGGTGTCGTTTGTGAAAAAAGATTAAGCTGGAAGCAGGAACAAAGAGACTTGGTTGGCAGGTCCAAACCATTTTCTGTCAATGGGTTTATGCCAATGGTCTCCAGTCTGCTGGCCTCCAGTCTGCGTCACCCCGTCTACTGCTTACCACTCAGAGGTCAGGAGGGCTCCTTCTAAAACAGAGATTTCCTCCTTTCAAAGATGTTTTAAAGTATAAAGTCCAAACTCCTTCTTGAACGTACAAGGTCCCTGCCTACGTTCTCCAGACACTTCCTGCCACACAGCACAGCCAGCATTCCATGGCCCCTCCTCGCACCCCGGCAATTGGGGATCTCTATTTTGTGCCAATGGCGCGCTCCACTGGAATGCCCTTTCTCCCCCTTCTCCACTCGGCTCCGGAGCCGAGCCTTCCGGGCCACGTCCCCGCCGAACGCGGACGGCGCTCGCCCTTACACGGTGCGTTCTTACGGAGTCGGATCGCTACCCGTCCGCTACGCGAATGGCGTCAGCAGCAGCTCCAGACGGCTGGCCGCCGATTCTCCCAATACAAACACGGTCTGCGCCGCGGACGCAGAAGGCCCGACGGGCCAGGGAGTGCCCGGAGCCCGCCGGGCTCCACGGCTGCTCCAGGCTTTGGGGCCGAGGCCTGGAAACCGCCACCCCTAAGCCTGGGGCAGCCTGGAAACCGCCGCCGGGGACCTCACCTTCCGGTTGGCCACCGCTCTGCATTTGAATTTTCGATTGGCGTCGGCCCGCAGTCGGGTTAGCTGTTCTTCACTGCCGAACGTCCAGTGCCGCTTCTGGCTGCTGTTATGGTACATGGTGGAGGGCGAGGCCGCACCGCGGAGCCGGAGAAGACGCCCAGGGCACCAAAACCGATGGACACCGCCTCCACGAAGACCAGGGCCCCGCCGGAGCCCAGGCGCCCGCTCGGTCGGCGCTAGGTCGATTACGTCAAAGTCACGTGGCCGGCGTTTCCCGTGGTTGGGCGACGCGAGTAGGCGGAGCCTACGGAGAAGTCCCGCCTTCGCGCGAGCCTCCTGCATTTTAAAGGAGAAGACACCTGGCTGGGTTGGCCCAAAGAAACGTGCAGAATAAGAGAGTGACTGGCATAAACAATTCACCAGGGGACATTAGAACTGAAGAAAGGAGTAGGGAGGACGTCACTTTTCAAATGGTGTCCCGACTTTACTGAGGTGATGTTTAAGCAAAGACTTGCAAGAGTTGGGGAGTAGATGAGTTAATCATCTGAAAGGATTAGGGAGCCCAACTGAGAGGGGCAAAGGTCCTTAGACTAAGGATCCCTGACTGTTTTAAGAAAGAGCCTGAAGGCCAGTGGGCCGGAGGCTGTAGGGTACTTTTTGCTAGGTGAGTGGAAAAGTGGAAGGATGATTCATTTACAGTTACCTTTATTTGCACCTTTTGTTGACAACAAGCCTGCCCACTTCCCCTAATCTCTGTTTGAGGCCAAGGTGTGAGGTAGTGTGGGAAGTTTTTTGGATCTCATTTTCATTATTGCCCTTGAGGCTGCCAGCTCTAGAAGAAAGGTTTCCGTGGGGGAAAGCCCTGTCTATTTCATCTTCTAGTTCTTGACTCCTCGGTTATCTTCATGTGCACCTATCTTGACCCATTTATCCTAGCTTGCATAATTTGCTCTTTTAGATCTAAAACATATTGCCTTAAAGCACAGTAACCCGCATGCTGCCTCATTTATATAACAGAACAAAATGATCTGCAAGTGAGATTATAACCAGGCCTAGTGTTTAGGATTTACAACACATTTTTTAGGGGGAAACAATTTAATCCATAATAGTACAGTTGAGGGGAGAACTTAACCACATCGCTTAAATTTCTCAAATTTGTACCACATGAAGTTTATAATATTGGAGATTCAGATGGCCCTTGGACACATACCTGTAATCTGGACAAGCAAACTGGCTAAAAAAAGAAGAAAAAATAAAAAGAAGAGAATGAAATGACCTTAGGAAGGAAGTGGTAAAGAATTGTGAACTCTGAAAGGTATAGTGAGGGGAAAGGGAATAATTTAAAAAGAGAAAGATAACTAAAGTCGAAAAAGACAATGCAGATAAAGGAGTTTATGTCTAGAATCTGAGATTCATGATAGTTATGTATACCATGTAAATTTTCTTTATTTTGCTTTCTGGAAGGACATTTGTCAATTATGTAAATGAAAATAAAACTAGACACTTGAAGGAGATAACAGAATATAATTTCCACAGGAATGTGAGTAAAATTGCTGAATGTCACAGTGTATTTAGGAAGACAAATAGGGTTTAAGAAACCTATGGGTTACTGAAACAATGATTTTTTTCAATTGTTTTTAAAAAATTTACTCTAAAGTGAAAATGAACATTGATTATATTTGGGGAACAAAAAGGAATTGAGCTACACTTAAATTAACCACGTTCAGTATGATGTATGTAGTTGGATACACTCTAACATTGAGCCGCATACATGACTGTTTCTTATTAAAGTGAGCAGGCTGAATGCTGAATTGGGTTGTCTGCCTGAGCGGCATCCCCTGTTTCCTGTCATGTGTTACAAAGGAGGGCAGAATCAGGATTTAGAACTCGGTGACTTTACCTCCGTCCATTACTGCTGACAACTAAAAAGCAGCAGGTATCTCTCTCCATTACGATTGCTTCTGATGTATTTGCTTTATGGCAAAGTCCAAACATAGAAAGAATCAAGAGAAATCTATTTCAACCAGCACGGAAATGTGGTCAGGTTTCATCTGTTGGCCACCGTAAAGGGCTGTGTATGGGACACCAACATTTCCCACGGGACTGTGAGGAATTGCTCTCCTTCCAAGATTATCCTTCTTCTTCTTCTGGCTCTGTTCTGTTGGGGCTCTTGATGTTCTAAGAAAATGAAGGTCAAAAGATCAAAGCTGCCTAGCACAGGGACTATAGGAAGAGACGGGGAATTATAAGGGTTGAGACAACGGCTTGTACATAGGAGGCTAAGCCAAAAGGTATTGCTGCTTGGCCCCCATTCACACATGCATGGTTTGATCCCAAACAAGACATGTTTAAACACGTCTCTGTGATCAGGGATGACTGCAGACAAGGTCTTTCAGTAATACCCCCTGTCTTGGTCTCATTGGGTGCTTTAAAAAAAAAAACCAAAAAGGTGCAATGTAAACAGTGGCTTCCAAGGAAATCTGACGGACCATTTAAATTCAAGGCAAAATGATGGTGACTGTGTTTGTTTGTTTAATAGCCCCGAAGTGGGGATCTTGATATATTTCTTGGAAGACATAGGACACTTATGGAGGTTTATTATGAAAACATTATAAGAAAACTGGAAACTGCATTGGGGAGGAAAGGCCAGGAAAGTTGCAGCCAGGAATTTTTATTCCCTGGCAACAAAGCACCCGCCCAGGCTTCCGGGGGAGCAGTGGTTGTCCTGCTAGAATTAGCCTTACTTCCTCCATTCGACAATCTTGGTTTTGCTCCTTTAGACTTCTTTTGGTTCCCAAAGCACAGAGAACATTTAAAAGAAATACAATTTGAATCCTTCAAGATTGCCAAAACTGCTAATTCGGAGTGGTAGCTCAAAGAAGGCGGAAGTCTTTGAGGTAGGCATAGGGAGATGGACACACGCTCATCTGAAATGTGTAATCTGGATGCAAGATATCTTGAGAAACAATAGCTTCACATTTTGGTATTTTTATTTAATGAAGGTTTCTCTGCTTTGTAGCAATACTTTTTGACTTACCCTAGTAAGATTGAATTTGTAGAAATCATTTGAGGGTTTCAAAGTTCAGGATCTGGAATTAAAATCCCAACTTCACCCCTTGCTTGCTGAGTATTTTTTTTGAAATTAATGTTAATCTGTTTTACTTAAGTTTTGCCTGGAAAGGTAATAATCACCTCTACCTCATAGTATTGTGAGAATTAAATTAATTAATGCATCCAAAGAGGGAGCATTTTGACTGAATTCTACTAAGATGCTCAACAAATGTTAATGATTACTTCATTGACAGATAGTATAGGTTAGTTGGAGAAGGTAGTAGTTATGTGGATTTGAGTTATTATATTGAGTGAGCTGGCACGTCAAGGGAATGGAATCTGTTTTGGCAAAAGCCATAGGGTGCAGCACAGAGAGGAAGTAACATATTTGGTTGGAGAAGAAGGTGAATTATCTGAGATATAAGTGAATAGAAAGATTAGCAGAGGACCTTGAATGTCAGGCTGACTAATTTGTGTCTAATAGTGTCAAGGAGTTTGAGCAGAAGAATAGAATGGCCAGACCTGCAGTACTTTAACTTGGAAATGATTTGTGGCTGTTAGGTAATGAGGGTTTTATGTGTTCCACATTAAAATGAAAGAAAGAAGATCAGTTCTAACAGTGAGACGCAAATATCTGCTCATGGACCAGTTATATCAGGTTCAGAATTTTAAAGGTAGATCTCTCAACGTACTCCTAATAGAACTATAGCATATGGTATCTTTAACTGCCACTGAGTCAATTCTGACTTATTGTGATCCTATAGGCCTTTCATCCAATGTATTTCTGGGTACTCATTTGGAGAATTTAAAACAGAGACACCTGGGTTCACCTCCAGAGTTTGTAACTTGACCTACCATGGGCAGGCCCACTTGTACGTATTTCTTACAAGTTCCCAAACAATGTTTGGAACTCAAAGGATACTCTGAGAACCACTAGTTGTATTTAGTTGGTTTTTTTTCTAAACATGGAAGAATGGTAGCAACCTTATTATAGATAGTCTTTATTTTTCTGTTAGCCCAATTGAATAAAACTGCATGCTATCCTTGGTTATATTTGTGAAAGAAAAAAAATAGACAACAAAATGAAGTTGTTGACAGTTGTGTTTATACACATACATATGATCATGGAAAACTGTAATATCAACTTTTAAAAATTGAGTACCATATTCCCATTAGCTGAAAAAGGTGAAGAAGAAAATCATTCTCCAAAAATTGAATCTTTTTGGTCATGTTGTTGTTATTCTTATGAGGTGCTGTCGAGTTGGTTCCAACTCGTAGTGATCCGAGGTACAACATGGACCAAACACGGGCTGGTCTTGCCCCATGCTGACAATTGTTTTTATGTTCCAGCACAATAATTAAAATACTTCAATTTGTCTTAGGTCCTCCCCATTTAATGTGACATCTTCACATGCATCTGAGGCTATGGAACATACCAAGGCATGGGTAAGGTGCACCTTAGTCCTCAAAGATATGTCTTTGCTGTTCAACACTTTGAAGAGGTCTTCTGCAACATAATTACCCAAAGCAATGTGTCTCCTGACTGCTAATTCCATGAGCACAGATTGTGGATCCAAGCAAGACAAAATCCTTGACAATTTCAATCTTTTCTTGGCTTAGCATGATATTATCTATTGGTCCTGCTTCAAGCATTTTAGTTTCCTTTACATTAAGTTGTAACCCTTACTGCCATCCTTGATCTTCATCAGCAAGTGCTTTAAGTCCTCCTGGGCATCAGCAAGCAAGGGTGTGTTATCTGTATCTCACAGCTTATTAATAAGCCTTCCTCCAATCCTGACACCACATTATTCTTCACAGAATCCAGCTTCTCAGATTATTTGTTTAGTGTACAGATTTAATAAATATGGTGATAGGATACAACTCTGATGCACACTTTTCCTGATTTTAACCTGTAGCTTTCCCTTGTTCAGTTTGCACAGCTGCCTTTATCCATGTACAGGTTCTTCATAAGTACAATTAAGTGTTCTGGAATTCCCATTCTTCTCAAGATTATCTAGAATTTGTCATAATCCACATGGTCAAATGTCTTAGCAGAGTCAGTAAAACATAAGTAAAACTCTTTCTGGTATTCTCTGCTTTGTGCCAAGATCTATCTGACATTAGCAATGATATCCCTTGTTTCACATCACTTCTGAGTCA